GCCAAGCTCAGCAGGCAAAATTCTTGTTTCTCTCTTTCTTGTTTTCAACACAAAGCCCTGACCTCTTCCAGCATTTTGTTTCTGGGCTTCCAACTGCTGGGACTAGATGCCATTTCTCCAGAAACTACAGGGGGCCCGTTCACATAAAGACAAAAGTAGTCCCATTGAGTCTGTAGCCCAAAGCCCTGGGAATATAAAGAAATGAATCCTAGAGGCAATAGGTTGCCTCAGCTCTTGCAGCAGGGTGCCCCCTGCCCCCACTCCCTCTGGAACACCCCCCTGGACACAGGCCTGCCCCTCACCTTCGCCTGCATCCTCTCATTGCCTGTGATAAATTCTGCCGCGCCCCCTGATGCCCGGGCAATGCCTTTTATGAGGCTGGTGGAGGCTCCTTCGCCAATACCAAATGAGAAACACCTGCGATTGTAAAACAGCCTGAAGTTAGAGACAGGGACGAAAGGGTGACATGACAAAATCATGGTCAAAGAAACACATAAAAATACATGAAGAGATAGTGTATTTCCTTGACCAAAGGCATACCAGCGACCATTTATGGAGTGTATTCTATATTTTAGACCAAATGCCTTCAACGAATAATGTGACCTCATCATCCCAGGACAACTAAGAGGAAGGCCCATGTTTCCTTTTGCGTGAGAAACGGAGGCCCCAAGGATGTTAGAACTCTGTCCGAGGTCGCACACCAACTAACTGGTAAAGACGGAATCTGAGAACTGCCCTGCTTGACTCCATGATCCCCTGGCAAAACACTACATATGATACTGATTCTAGGAGCAGAAAAAACAAAATAATAGGACCACATCCTCATCAATTGTGTCCATAATCAATCCAAAGAATGGGTTCATCAGAAAGTGAGATTTAGGAAAACACAGACACTCCCGTCAGTGTGAGGCTAACATTGTTCTGGAACCATATCTGTCCTGGCAAGGCTAGTCTTAGGATGGGAAACAGTGCGTCCTGCTCTTCTTCTTTTTTTTTAAAAAAATAGATTTTTATTGATTTTATTTTATTATTTTTTGTTGTTGTTATTCCTCACCAAAGGATACTTTTCCACTAATTTTTTTAAGAGAGAAGGTGGACGGCAGAGGGAGAGAGAGAAACATCAATGTGAGAGACACATTGATTGGTTGCCTCCCGCATGCGCCCTGGCCAGGGCCAGGGATTGAGCCTGCCACCGAGGTACGTGCCCTTGAGCAGAATCGAACCCGGGAGCCTTCAGTCCACAGGCCGGCGCTCTATCCATTGAGCTAAACTGGCTAGGGCCCTCCTGCTCTTCTAACTGGAGAGTTCTCTCTTTGCCTTGGTCCACAAGCACAAAATAGCTTTCTAATCACAATGTGGCTTCCCCAATAGAACTGTCTAGAAACAGAGAATGTGTGGGTAATACTAATACCAGCAATTTTAGAAGGCATGACAAGGATAGTTCTCCTAGTAAATTAAATCCCTGTTCTTTGGCTTATATATCAGTCTCTTATTGATTTTTAGAGAGAGAGGAAGGGAGAGAGAGAGATAGAAACATCGATGAGAGAGAAACATCATTGATCGGCTGCCTACTGCATGCCCCTCATCGTGGATCAGGCCCACAACCAGGGCATGTGCCCTGACTGGGAATCGATCTGGTAGCCTCTTAGCTCATGGGTAGAAGCTGGGCTGTCTGAGTCTCTGTAGTGTGAATCATTGTCCCCATATCTAGGGACATCAGCTATGGGATTAATGTTCTAACCTTGTGAGGCTAGAACCAGACTTCTAATTATTGTGACTTCACTGTGACAATGCTCCCTAGAGATCACAGCCTACCAGCATATGGATATGATCACATTTAAATTTCCAACGACCTTTTGAACTATAGCCTAGGTTCTTTATGCTTACAAAGCACTTTGATGCATACCTATACTTAAGTGTTTTTAACATGTAAAATTAAAGCTAAATAGTATTGATCAATGGCTAACTATATGCCTAGAATTTATGTAACTACCTCTTGTGGATGATAATAATGGCGAAACTTTATCTATCACTTCCTTTGTGTCCAGCACGGTGCCTAATGCTTTCTTTCAGCATAACTCTTTCAACCCTCAGGGTAAACCTATAAGGTAAGTACAATGACTATCTCCATTTTCAAAGTGAGGAAACTGAGGCTTAGAGAATTTAGGTGATTTGTCCAAGCAACTGAGAAGCAGGAAAACTGGAACTTACATATATGGCCCCCGACTTAAAGTAGAACACCCTAGCAGAGTTCTGCTCACAGCAATGACAGACGAAGTTGTCCCAAGCCAGTAGAAAACTAGAAAAGCTGTACACAATATTTTTAATAATCTACTCGAAAACAGCCAAAGGCTACCGAGGTGATGATAAACTATGGGCCGAGAACTGGGAGAGGAGAGAGGCCAAGAGAGATGGTATCTGGCATCTCTTTCCACCTTGAAGCAAGTGCCAAGTTCAAACTGATAACTGAATGGTGAACAAAGCTAAGCAGTTTCAGATCTGGGCTTTCCAAAGAGAAAGTGCCCTGGTAGACACTCAGGTTTTTTAATACAGGCCTGCAGCACTCTCCCCTAGAGGCAGAGGTGAATCTGAAATAAACCAGCCATCTAAGGATTAATGCTCATTGGATTCTAATTGGACTAAGATTATCTGCTTCTTCTCCAGCAACCAAGAGTAAATCTTCTCAGGGGCAAGATGACATCATCTAGAGAGGCTCAAAACATTTCCAGAATTTTTTATATAAAATATCTGACAATTAACAAAGGAATAGAAAACCCCCAAATATTGAGAAATTATACTCTCTACTTCTGAATAACATCCTATATGATAAAACTCTAATAAGCAAATTGTCCCATTGACTGGGAGTTCGACTGGGAGTTCAATCTGGAGTTCGACTAGAGGGCGGGGCTGGCCGGCCAACAGCCCGCAGCCCCTCTCCCTGGCTGGCCAGGCCCCATTGGCCCCAATCGGGGTAGGCTGGCCAGAACCCACCCATGCACAAATTCATGCACCGGGCCTCTAGGAGGTTTTATAAAGAAATCATAATGATAATTAGAAAGTACAGAACACCAATAGAAAATGACATCCAAATTTAGGATTTAGTTACAGATATGTTTGTAATTATAGTTCTAAATACACATGTCAGAAAAAGAAGTCTAAAAGTCAACCACCTGAACCCATCTTCAGGTCTTAGAAAAAAAAGCAGCAACAAACCCAAAAATTTTAAAGAAAGGGCAAATGTTATTGATACAGAAGACAATCATACAATAGAGAGGCTACACAAAAAGTGCTGTTTTTTGGAAAAGATTATTAAAATTGACAAACATGCCCGGTTGGTGGGGCTCAGTGGTTGAGCATCAACCATGAACCAAGAGGTCACTGGTTCAATTCCTAGTCAGGGTACATGCAAGGGTTGTGGACTTGATCCCCAGTAGGGGGCGTGCAGGGGGAAGCTGACAAATGATTTTCACTCAATATATCTCTATCCTTTTCCCATCCTCTCTCTCTAAAAATCAATAAAAACATATTTAAAAAACTGACAAACATTTAGGGCAAGAAAAAAAGGCACAAATAATCAGTGTCAGGAATAAAAAGGGAATACTACCACTGATTCTACAATACTTAATAACATCATCTGGCGACACTGTTGATAACTTCATGCAAAGAAATTTGAAAACTTAGATAAATATACAAACTCCCATAAGAATCAAGAACGTATAAAAATATGAATAGTTCTATTTCAATAAAGGGATTTAAAAATCTTCCCACAGAAAAAAATCTCCTCGTAACATCTCGTAAACACGTAAAAAAATATTTCCCATAATAGAAAAACAGGCAATTCTTCTCAGCTCGGTATGATACCACTGTAACATAGATATTAAAACCAACAAGAATATTATTAAAAAATACATGCCAATATTTCTCATGAAAAAGTATTTTTCAGTCCTAAACAATTATTAGTCAACTGAATAAAAAAATATATGAAAAAAGTTAATAGATCACAACTAACTTGGGTTTATTTCAGAAATGCAAGGTTCGTCTAATATTTAACAACAGTCATTATATGGAACACATTGAAAGAATAAAGAATAAAACCCTACATTCATCTCACCAGATATTAAATGCATTTGATGAAGTTCAACCATTCATTATTATTTTTTTAAATGTAAACAAAAAGAAAATAACTCTCAAAACAGAAAAATCCTTAGTCAGGTGTAGGATATCTACAAAAAGACCTAGAGCAAACAACCACACTATTAATGCAATGCGAACAATGTTCCTTCTGAAAACGGACATTCCCAATAAATCCACTACCATGTCAATTCAAAGAAATAGGTGTGTGTACACATGTGAAAATGAATATGTATATATGCATATATAGGTGCACACACAAGTGTGTGTAGGCAAAAAATACATGTACCAGAATGCAAGGATATTCACAAAAGCATTATTTTAAACAGCTAAATGGAAGTCCATCAGCAGTAGAATCAATCAATAAATTATGGTTTAGCCATCCCCTGGAATACTATACACCAGTGAAAATTAACGATGGTTCCATGCAAAATATGGGTAACTATATACTGCTGAGGGAAAGAAGCAAAATGCATAGAATAAAAACTGTGCAACATTAATTTTTATTCAAAAAGAAGCAGAAATAACCCCATAGTATTCCTGTCCATCCTTACTTGTCAGCACTGGAACCACAAGGCCCTAGATTACATGTGGTCAGTCACCCAGAAACACACACATTGTCTGCATACCTGTGCCTCTGCCCATTGCTTTTCACTTCTCTAATGACACTGAATGTGTCGTTCACTTCTCCATCTGTGAAGACAAAAAGCTGAACACAGAAGACATTGGTCAAGTCTCTATGAAGTTCACTTTTTTTTTTAAGTTCATTTTTAAAATACCGCAATTTGCCCTTGAAAAACTCGACTATTTCATGCCGGAGACACTGATGCCTCTTCGGACACGTGTGAAATCCCTAGTGGGCCACTGTCACTTGCATCAGGTGTTTACATGGTTTGGGGCATTTTCCTCACCCTCCCAGTCTCACCTCAGGCCTCTGTGGCATTCCACAAGAGAGCTTCCACCTCCACAGTTCAGAGCATGGAGCTAAGGAAGAGGGATTCTATGAAATGCCTTTTGTGTTTTCCCCTTTACTACGCACACCATATTGTGACAATCCTGCAATGAAACTCAGGGCTATACATTCTGGAACCGAAGTTGAGTTCTCTCTACCCACTTCCTGTGAGCTCTGTTCCAATTCTTACCTGGAGAGGGTGGCCTGGGATGGAAGTTCTACTGTAAATGGCCTTGAGTGGTTCCAAGATTTCTGTGCCCCCGAGGTCAGCGTCCATACTCTTAACTCTCTTCAGCGCCTGCTCCATGGTATCCTGAGTGTACTTCACGCTCTCCCTGAGTAAAGCAAACACATGCAGGGACATAGCTAGCTGACACTGCCCAGTATCGCATCCCCGCATTGAGATTCGCCCCACTGTAAACCTCCTCACCTGAACTCCCCAATGCCAAGGTCAACTCTACCGTAACCCCTTTAACAATATAGTCCTTTCTTTAGAGGATCTTTTCTTGAATTCTCTGTAGCCTTTCTAGAAACTTACGGAAAGAAGGCCTCAAAGAACGTTCCAAATCCATAGATGTTGAAATAACAGCCTAGAGGCAAACTCTTCAGCAGCCAAATCAGTGTTTCCTGAAGGAAGAGTGTATGGGGAGCGAGTGAGAGAGGATCCTTGAAGACACACAGACCCTCCCCATCTAACTCCTGCGGGTGTGGGCCTTCACCCAGAGTGTGCCACCCAGTCTTATAGTCCTCGGAGTGGTCACGTGAGCTGCAGTGCAGCTGGAAACACTGATCCAGATGACCCAGATGGACTCTAATTTACCCCCCGAGACTTATCCTTACTTGAGCACATGAGCAGAAAAAGAACTAGTCTTACCTTGGCCGCCTGTATGCGCAGCTGAGATGGATTCTGATTATTCATGGGACAATGCATACTTCCCGAGCGGTCCATGAGGAAGACGAATTCTCCACATGCAGTTGGTGACTGAGCCTCTGGGATATTCGGGTAGAAACTCACCATCGCAGATGGATCTCCCATCAAAGAACCTACTCAGAAAGAATAAGGACACCATGAGATGAAAAGGAACTAAAAACATACATAGGGAAGACACCATGAATCAGTTGTAGTGAATCAACAGGAAGCTGAGAACATCCACATCTGAAACACAGTTTGATCTTTATACTCTATCTGCTGGCAAAGGGCTTGAAGTGAGCTATAAACCTACAAGAGCTATAGAAGCAAAGCAGATAGTAAGGAGATGAAAGAGGGTAGAGGTTACCAGGAACAAGCAATAAGTAAGATGCGATCATTGACCCTAGTATCCTAGCAGCTAGGCCAACTAGTGAAATACGTTAAGTTACACTGTTCCAGCATTTACCAGAAGAATCAACATAACTTCCTTGGCAGAGTCACATTAACTTCAAATCAAATCAATGGGAAATTTATCACATGGGTCCTTGTTTAAGTCATCACCGCTTTACAAAAACGATGCTCATGTGGGCAATTCTTTCATTGACAAGTTACAAGAGCTGAGAGTGTCAGTGTCACACACACCAGGGAAAGTCCGTCGGCTGTGGGCACGAAGCTCTTACCGATGCTCTCCCGAACAAGGAGAGTCACTAGGATGTTGTGTTGAGAACAGTATCACCCACACAATAGTATGGAGGCGACCAGGGAGTTGGCCTATGTCACCAAGTTGTCAAAGCCATAGCCAAGATTTTATCTTTTCGGGGGCAAGTGAAAACTGAGGCTGGAATTAAAATACTAGGATTAAGATAGAGATGTAGTGAGAATGGCTGGCTTATATCAACTCTAACAGTTCAGACACTACAAGGAGACACAGAATCTAATTCCAATATCCTACCTATATTACAGTCCTTCTGGGATTAGAGCTTTAAATTCTCAGAATGCCAGCTGGCATTCTCTTCTGTGTATAGATGTGAACAGCAAGCCACCGTGACCAAACGTACGATCTGGGAGCAAGATTTGAGCAGCCCTGCTGGAGGGATTTACAAGACTCATTAAGGCTGCCCCTGCTGTCCCCTGGGTCTGCACAGCTGGGCATAGGGAACAGACGAGGAAATCTGCAAAGGGGCCGACAGAACTTCTTGGAATCTCAACCTTTACCTTGTAAGATGCAACATTTCAAAACTTCCTCTGGTGGATTAAAAGAACCCTGACTAAAAATCAGGTCGCTGTTGTGGGAGTACTTCTTGGGCACACAAGGGGGAGTTCGCCCAAAGGGAAGGACAAAATCAGACAACTAATGTACAAAGACAGAGCTCGGAGCTTCAGGGAACAGGAGCTGGAGCAAACCTGGCTGAGGCTGGGACCCCCTCTAACAGGTTTAGTGTGGACGGCCTGCCCTGAGCAGGGGGGTCGGGGAGGAGAGGAGGGGGGCAGGAATCGTTAAACGAGTGAAGGCAAATTAAGGAGTTCCAATTTGTGAGCTGGAGTGTGAAGTTACCTTGGCCAAACGTCAACAATGAGATAAGAAAAATGGCCAATTGAAGATCAACTATAGCTACTTATCTTTAAAGCAGTGGTAGCTATGGAAGTAAGAGCCTAACCCAAGACACTGTGTTTTGACTATGATTGTCCCCAAGGATGCGTCATTCCACCAAAGTGGGAAATGCTTCAGAAGTGTCAATATCTTTCCAGTGACGCTTCATGGTCTCTGTAGTCCAGGGCCATGGCAGCTCAGGGAGGCCCGAGACAGCGGTCCCTGACATGTGTTACACCAGCACAGTTAAAAGAAGTACACAGCCCCGCTGGTGTGGCCTGGTGTTTGAGCAGCGACCCAGGAGGTCATGGTTCGATTCCTAGTCAGGGCACATGCCTGGGTTGTAGACTCAATCTCCAGGAGGAGGTGTGTAGGAGGCAGCAGATTGATGATTATTCTCATCATTAATGTTTCTCTCTCTCTCCCTCTCCCTTCCCCTCTCTAAAATCAATAAAAACAAACAAAACAAAAAAAGAGGAAAAGTAGATATATACTAAGGAAAATTTGGAAAATAAGATAAATTAAAGAAATTTAAAAACTAAACTTAGGCTTAGAAATTAAGAAACTAGGTTAAGAGTTAAAAAACTCTAAAGATGGGTAATGGTGATATTTACAACAGAGTGAATGTACTTAAGGCAAGAGAGCTATATCGTTAAAAATAATTATAATGGTAAAATTTCCGTTATGTAAATTTTATACCAAATTATTAGTTTTCTTTTTACTTAAAATATATGTCAGATAAATTTTACCAAATTAAAAAAAGAACAAAGAAAGAACTCTAGGTGAGATTACAGGAAGGAATGATAAATCAATAAAAGTTATTTATTAGATAAAACAAAAAATTTAGTCTTAATCTAATCATAATTACTAGGTGCATATTTCCTGTGGTTTTAAACATTTTTCTTAATTGCCAGGTTATTTTTTATAATAATCTGTTTGTATAACTTACTTTTCTTTAACTTAATCCTCGTTGGAAGGCTTTTTCTCTATATTATTTAAATCTGTCAACATATATGATTTTGGTAGCTGCATAATAACGCATCAAGTAATCCCAGCATAGTGAATTAAGTTATTGTGAGACATTTTGATTATTTACTAATCTTTGATATTATGAAAGTGGCCACTTCAGTGTATATGTTTACTTACATTTAAATTTATTTCCTTAGGTAAGATTCCTAAAATTGGAATCACTAAAATGAACATTTCTTTTGACACGTATCGCCAAATCTCTTCTCCAAAGTTTGATTCCAAATTATTTTTGCTTAAAGCAATCTGTGAGAGTGCCAAATTCACCTCACCTTTTAAAGCATGAGGTGTTCCCAGATTTGGAAATCTTTGATCATTTGAAAAGTGAAAAAATCACATCATTTACTTTTATTTATACTTATAGAGGCTGATCATTGTCCCATATTTTTAAACTGGCTGCATTTCCCTTGTAAACTTTTTCATGTCCTTTGTCTAAGTACCTACTAATTCACCGAAATTTACATATAAGACATAGTCACATGATATTCAATATGGAACCATTTTTGCATGCCATAGTGTAAACTAGTCCCATTTTTTTTTAAAACCCATTACTGAATAGAAAAAAAAAGTGAGGGTAATTCGAGGGTAATTCAACAACAAGAGTTTCCCCTTAGGCGGTAACTACAAAAAGAGAGGGAACATACCAGGCTCTGTGGCGGGCGCCCCCATCTCCACAGCCACGCTGGGGGTGTGCACCTCACTGTAGTAAACCAGGAGCTCCACATCTCGATCAAATTTGTGTCCGTCAGCCAAGGAGATCTGAGTTGGGAGCAAGCAAAGAAGCCATGTTAGAACCATCGTGCCTCTGCCTGGGGCTGAGGTCAGAGCTGAGGGCTACTGGCTCCTTCCACGTGTGAACAGAGCCAGGAGCAAGGGCGAGAACAGGCAGGAGGCTCTGGAGATGAAATAAGGACAAAGAAGGGGCCCAGCCCTAGCCAGTTTGGCTCAGTGGATAGAGCGTTGGCCTGGGGACTGAAAGGTCCTGGGTTCGATTCCCAGTCAGGGCACATGCCTGGGTTGTGGGCTCGATCCCCAATAGGGGGCATGAAGGAGGCACCGAATCAATGATTCTCTCTCATCATTGATGTTTCTATCTCTCTCTTCCTCTCCTCTCTGAAATCGATAAAAATATATTTAAAAAGGGGGGGGAGGGCATTGCAATTTACCCGGGGTTAACAGGGGAAAGTGAGCAATATTTAGGAGATGGAGGGAGGAGGAAGATCAGGACCTAAAAACAGGGTGCTGGCAACCACAGCGCACTCACTAATTACCTGAGCAGAAGTCTTATCGGCAAGGTACTCAATAGGATTCACGGGGGAGCTGCACTGGACGCTCTGGATGGCATCTGGGAGCTGGAGGGGACATGCTTGAGGAGGAGACGAGTGGCACAGGAAACAAAGACTGGTGGGGTGAGCCTGTAATCGGTCTTGCCAAGTTCACAGCCAAACTCTGAGTGCCTTCGATGGGTGTTTCCCTCCAATGGTTTTAGGAAAGTTATCGGTTAGGGGTGAGTAGAGGACAAAGCATTGGACATGAACATTTCTGGGCAGTTGCATTTGATAGAGACCCTAAAGAGCATGCATTATGGGAAGGTAGGGGAGGGAGGGGGGAAGGGGGAGAGATCAACCAAAGGTCTTATATGCTAGCATATAGGCCTAAGAGCTCAGTGGTGTGTCCCCTCCCCACAATGCTTAGCCCCCCGACAACCCTGAGGGGGGTTTTCCCCGCGAGTATTTGAAGAAAGAGCCTACTCACCGGAGAGTTGGTAGCGAGGGTTCAGGATAGCGGGGAGCACATAGCGCAGGGCCCCGTCGGCCTCCAGAGGCAGCTCCTGCACGTACTTCAGGGTGAGTGCCGCCTTCGACCCGGGGGGCAGGTTCCCCACGTTACAAGAGAAGATGTCGCCAGCCTGATCGTCCTCCTCCAACAAGAAGGCTTGGTGGCCCTGGCTGATGGCATTCTCGTAATTGGTGCGGGCCTAAGGAGGACAGGGGAAGACGGGTGACATGACATGAGAGGGGACATGCTTGAGGAGGAGACGAGTGGCACAGGAAACAAAGACTGGTGGGGTGAGCCTGTAATCGGTCTTGCCAAGTTCACAGCCAAACCCTGAATGCCTCCAATGGGTGTTTCCCTCCAATGGTTTTAGGAAAGTTATCGGTTAGGGGTGAGTAGAGGACAAAGCATTGGACATGAACATTTCTGGGCAGTTGCATTTGATAGGGACCCTAAAGAGTATGCATTATGGGCATAAAAAGGGAGGAAGGAATATACTCATCCCCAGTACCTCTGACTTCTCCTGCAATTCTGCCACGATTTTCTTCCCATCCACCAGGGCCTCGAAGCTGTGGACAGCTGAGTCTTCGTCCATGGGGAAAACAAAGAAGGCCTCCAACGGGTCTTTCCCCTCATTCTCATAGTTCAAGGTAGCAGACACACCGGCCACAAACTCTCGAATGGACAAGGTCACCGAGATGCTCTTCAGTGGCACTAGAGATAGACCAGAGTTCAGGAGGTCACCAACCTTCACAGAATGTCTCCCACCGTTTGAGGTGCCAAAGGTCCAATGGCAAGTCAGAGTCACGAGTCAGGCTTACCTGGCTCCTTTTGGCGGGTTAGCAGGCCGTAGCAGGGAGGGGACACCATGGTGACACAGGGTTACTGTGGAAAAGACACATCATGAACAGAGCGCCATGGTGGGGATTACCTATCCAAACACCAATACCGATGGGCTTCTCTCTGGCATCAACATCTATTCAGAGGGTTAATGGGGGACCCAGGAAGGAGAAAGAAGCAGAACAGAAGGGGATAAAGGTGTCAATAGCAAGGCTCCTTCTAAATGCCAGACCCTGGTGGAAAGCTAGACAGGAAACCTCACCGAAGGCTGGTTCAAACGCCAGGTCTACTTTTTTCGGAAGTGTTTTTATTATACCACTTTTTAGGAATATTCAGTGAATGTAATGAACGCCTCTGAACCTCAGTATTTCTAAAATGAAAATCATATGACTATACACAGATGAATGAAGATAGATGAAGTCCTAGGAATGGGGCCTGGCCCATATGATGATAGACATGAGTGTTGTTCTTGTCGCTGTTGTTAAATAGACCGGGGCTGTTACTCTTGTAGGTGGCCGTTAGACAGACATGAGCAGAGCAAGGAGGATGGGCCAGGTGCAGAAGGTCACCAGGGAGGAAGGCCCCAGTCCTAGCCATGGACATGTGTCGGGTAGGACCTCGTCCCCGGGCTGACCTTTCCTCCTCTGCATACCCTGGACATTCGTGTTTAGACCCCTGACCTTTCCTCCCTGGAGAGAACATCTAGGCTTCAGGTGTATTTCATTCAGCTCCAAGCCCAGAAAAGCAGCAAAACCCGGCAAGCAGCGCCATGGCTGACCTCGGGACCAGCTGCACTGAATAATAACCCCCCTGCCCTGACACTGATCGATCAATCAGTGGAGACCACAACCCTGAAAGGACGCACCTGGAAAGCTGCGGAATATTCTATTCAGATCCGCCCCTGGGATCGCCCCTAAAACCCTTATGACTGAGGACCCAGCAGACGCTCCCTCCAGGGAGCAAGTCCCTGCCTTTCCCTTCCTCTTCCGTTCCCCATCCCTCCAGACTCATCACCTTGACCTTCCTCCCTTCAAAGCTCCAAGGGCCTTTCCCTGGCCTCCATCCCTTGTTTCCTAAGCCGTTTCTCCTAGGAACTACCGCTACCTCTGTGCTTTCACAAATAAATGTTATCTTACAGGTTGAGTCTCGGCCTTTCACATAAGATGTTGCCTGATCCAAAATGGACCTCTGCAACTTAGATCTCATACCTTGTGACTTTTCTTTTGGGGCTTGTTATTGAAACCAGTTTGTTCTCTCTGTCCAGGCAATTACTATTTCATATATCCAACATGCCCTCTATTTTAAATCGAAACATATCTTCCAAATTTCATTATAATCTCAGACAGCCATTTCATGTGATATGCCAAAAAATATTATGTCCATGGGTTATAATTTATGTTACACTTTTATTTTTAAAAAAGTAATGTTTTTATTGATTTCAGAGAAGAAGGGAGAGGGAGATAGAAACATCAATGATGAGAGAGAATCACTGTTAGGTTGCCTCCTGCACGCCCCCTACTGGGGATTGAGCCTCTCCCTCTCCCTTCCTCTCTGTAGTCAATAAAAGTATATTAAAAAATATAGAGGAAAACAAACACCACACCCTACTCCAAGCCAGAGCAATGGCTGTGTTGCTCACCCAGCTGATTGCAATGGTTTCTGATACACCATGGCCCCATACCTACAAATCAGCGCCAATACAGCAGGCTTGTTGTTTTGCGTCTGTTTTTGTTTTGAGGGATTGGGTAAAAACAGGTGGTGGCAAAAAGGCTCACACTGGCTAAACCACAGAGGCGGTCCAGGCTGTGTGGGGAGAGGAACGCAAAATCAGCGAGAGGGTTTCCATGCACACATCTGATGGGGCCCTTTCTCGGGTCCCACAGGCTGGGGCTGGGCTAGGAAAGAGTTTCTAGTAACCCCAGCAGGGAGCTTACCGCCTGAGAAGGACAAGGATACAGGGGCACAACAGCTGGAGAAACCGGAGGGCAACCCAATCTGTAAGGGTGGGCGGTACTCACCAAGGGCGGCTTTCTGGTGAAGAGACAGAGGGAGCAGTGGCTGAGTGTCTTCTGCAAAGAAACAGGCTTGTCTCTGTACTCTAACCCCAGAACAAATCCCTCCCAGGGGAGGTTTGCTCTTCTGCAGCCTCGCCCCCACCCTTCCCAGGACAACCTATGCTGAGTCAGAACTCCTTCCCCCTCCCTCCCCAGGGCACTTGAGAATTGCACCCAGCAACAGGGAGGCAGGCTGGCCGCAGCAGCTGATGGGGCTCCAAGTTGAATCCGAGGCTGGGAGAATGGAGGGAAGGGCGGGTCAGTGCCTCAGGTGCCAGGAATCCAGGGGCTGCCCTGGGCGAGGGGGGCGCTTGTGGGGCAGGGACCACATAAGGGCCAGTGGAGAACCCCGGGTGGGCCACAGGCCATGGGGGTGCAGAGCAAGGCTGGGATAGAGACCGGGAGTGGCCCAGCCAGGTTTGGCTTAGTGAATAGAGCATCAGCCTTCGGACTAAAGGGTTTGGGGTCCCGTTCCCGGTCAGGGTTCAGGCAGGGTTGTGGACTCAATCCCCAGGAGGGGACATGCACGAGGAAGCTGATCAATGATTCTCATCATTGATGTTTCTCTTTCTCCCTTCCTCCCTCCCTCCCTCTCTCCCTCTCTCCCTCCCTTTCCCTTTCTCTCTGAAATCAATAAAAAATATATATTTAAAAGAAAAAGAAACCAGGAGTGATTTAAATTTTAAATTTCCGTCCCAGAGTTTTGGCATCCAGGGAGTCACAGAAAGTATCTGAGCTGGCCCCTTGAATTTCTATATAGAAGGGTTTAGGGGCTGCAGTATGATTTGGATCGGGGGGCGGGGGGAGGTTTGAAGTTCCATTTCACCACATAAATTTACATCAAATGGAGGAGCTATGAATTGTCCGCATGAAGGGGAGGGGGAGAGGGAGGTAAAGTGAAAGAGAAAGTAGAGAGAGGGGCCTTGAGATGATTAGATGACAATTCCCACTTCCAGCCCCACAAGATGCCCCCAACCTCCCACCTGCTGCACCTGCACCCCCTCTCCCCCCTAGCCGCCACCCCAAACCCCCATCACACACCAGGACTAACTCCTGTACCCCTCGGGCTTGCAGCTAAAACAGACCCGAGCAGAGCTGGAGGTGGGAGAGGCAGGCAGCGGGCACCGGTCTCAGCCCCCGTTAGCGGGGACACTCCTCCCCACCCCCCCAGCGCCCAGTAGCGAGCCACCGACCTGCTGGGCATCCAAGCCTCTGAGTCACTCCCATAGAGAAACACCCTCAGCCAAAAGTTCGGGAAAGACCCGCCCACGCCTAGGGACCGGCGATAAAGTGGCGACTCTATAAGTAAGGGATCGAGGGAAATTCCTGCACACGCAGTCTAACTCTCTCTTAAACTCTCACAATATCTCTGAGCAACAAACTCGAACTCTTTAATACCCGCTGAAATACATCAGGAAAAGAAATGGCATAAGAAATCAGAACACTTCATTTAAACTCTGGTTTCACTGTACTCGCTTACGTAATTTATACAACATTTCTCATTGACATAGTTTCATTCGCTAGGAAATAAAAGTCATAATTATCATAATTACAACATGAACAACAAACACACTTTAGTACAATAGTGAAGTGTCTGCAAGCTGCATTTCAACAAACCCTCCGCAGGTCACAGGCAGCTACCAGCAAACTTGGAAGGAAGTCCTTGAGAGATGGTCTCACTGTGAAACTCGGGCACGTTCCTAACACCAGTTCACTCAGAAGTTTCAGGGAACTCTGGTCTAGGCCATCCTTTACCTGAGCGAATAGACAGTGAGGCCTTGCTCAGAAGTCTTGAGGGTTCTAGGGGAAAGTCAGAACCCAGTTCTAAAGTCATCATTTACTTTAACAGATGGAAACACTAACCTCTGAGGGAATAAATCATTTGTTTATCATCACATAACTATGTAAGGGTATGGCCAGGGTTCTCATAGTGGTTTTCTGACTAGTGCCTTAGGAAATCAGCTTGCAACAGAAGATATGGGGACAGGACACCATATGAACAGGGGAGGTATCAGAAAAGTTGGGAGGGTACTAGATGGTTTGGCTCAGTGGATAGAGCATCGGCCTGCAGACTGAAGGGTTCCAGATTCGAGTCAAGGGCATACGCCCGGGTTGCGGGCTCGATCCCCAGTAGGGAGCATGCAGGAGGCAGCCGATGAATGATTCCCTCTCATCACTGATGTTTCTATCTCTCTTTCCCTCTCCCTTCCTCTCTGAAATCAGTAAAAATATATATTTTTTTAAAAAAAGCTGGGAGGGAAAACAAGGGATGAGAAAACCCATGCAGATTCAATGAATAAATCTATAAAATACCAGAAACAACCAAGTGTCATTTTAATATTGATACAGCAGTCTGTTAGGGAACAACACATCCAATAGGGTCCCTTCCACTAGGATAGACTGTGTGGGACTGCAAGGTCAGACATGATCACTGGGAGCTCCTTTCTTCCTTTTGGGTTGAGTGGCCCAGGTTTTGGGTCTCAGGCAAAGCTGCCTTTTTTTATAAAAGTATACTAGATCAGAGCCTGATTCAGAGGCCTCACAGGTCAGGCAAGGACGAAGGATCCCATGATGGCCCTCTTACTAAGATGCGTCCTGATTAAGAAGAAACATCTGTCTCCCACAGCTACCACTCAACCCTTGGGCAGTGAAAGGGGAGGCGGGCAGTATAGGCTAACAAGACTCAGGCATAATGAACCAAGAAGGTCCCCAACAGTGCCAACCCTCACAGTGGACCCTTGAACCTCAGGTGGAGGTTATGTGGATCCCAATGTTGGCTGTCAACCGCCCCTCCATCTCTTTATTCTACCTTAGAATAGAAAACTGGATAGCTCACCAGTCTTGTCCTCATAAGTCCCCAAAAGCAATACTGATTAGACAAAAAATAATGCAGAGAACTTTCCAATCCAGGCCATCCCTAACATCAACCCAGCAACCTGTAGCCTAGAGTCCACGCCCCTCGTTTCTCATGTCGTCACTCTGAAAAACCCGGGAGGGACCTCACTGCCTCTGAACTCCTTCCAGAAAGAGAACAGGTCTGGGGCCCTGATGCCTGGCTGAGGGCACATGCTGGGGAAAGGATGTCATATCCGGAGGGAACCTGGAACCTGGAGGAAAGGTGGGGCGGGCAT